GGGGGGCACAGCAGAGCAATGAGACCCCCAGAGAGCGGCGAGACCCTCTGCTCAGCACCGCGCCTGCCCGCACCTTCCGTCCTGCCTGCACCTCTGCCTGCAGAAATCCTGCCGGCGCACTGATGCCAGGCTCGCCACGCCGCTGTCGGAGTTTCTTAATCACAAATCCTGATCCATGACTTAATCACTATTACTCCAATCCCTTCCCCTAAATCCTTTTACCGTTTAATCTATTCTTTGCTGTCAGGGGATGGGGAAGCTCCTTATGTACCGCGGCATCCTGAAAGCTACACCCACCCCAGAGCCGGGACCTCCGCGCAGGCGGGCGAAGGCACAAGAGGAAAGCACCCGGTGTCACCTCCGCCCAGCTCACCCGCACCCCTTCTCCCGCGTCTCAGCCAGGGAGGACTGCGCAGACTCCCGGCATGATGCGGAACGGGATGCTCGGGGGCTCGGCACCCACCGGGGAGCGCGCAGGACCTGCAGCTCTCTCTGGCACCTCTCTGGGGAGACGCAGCCCAGCCGCGTCCTCCAAGGGCAGGACAAAACCAGTGCTCGCCCGAGGACTGAACTGGTCCGAGCAGCTGGCTGGGAGCAGCAGCACGGGCGATGCAGAGCTTGCGCCTGGGATCCTGCCGGTCCCCCCTCGCTGCCGCCCCGCCTGGCACACGGTGACAGCCACGGAGGGGTCACCTCCAGCGCTCCCTCGCCTTGCAGGGGGGAGGTTTGGCCGGGGGATGCCAAGGACAAGCTCCCGCCGCCCCGAGCGCGCCTCCCTGGGAAGGCGGTTCCTACGGCGGGGCATTGGCAACCAGCTCACGCGCGGTGGTGACCGAGCGAGTCACAGGCTGGCAGGAGAAGAAAAGTGAATCAGGCAAATATCTGGTCCCTGGGCTAATCCAGGACCCCGAGCCAGCAACCCTGACTCAGCTGACGGCTCGCGGTTTGCATAATTGATCTCCAGGATGCTAAAAGCCGTGGAAATGAATCATGAGGGGCTGTGTGCTCCCTGAGACTGCGAAAAAGCTCCTTCTGACTGCAAAAAAAGCTCCCTCCGAATAGACATTGCCTTGCTGCCCCAGAAAACGCATCAGTAAACACAAATCCAGTGGATACGTACTTGGAGTGCAGCCAGAAAACGCTCGGAGGCAGCGCCTGCCAGGCCTTTCCGTCATTAGGAACCAGGAGAACCTCCTTAACAGACCCCAAAGAAAACTTTATTACACTTGCTGTGATGCTCAGATGTTTTAAACCTCACCGAGACAGCCCTGAATAGAAGAACAGACTTCAAAGTCAGGGCAAAAGGCACCTTTTAAACGCATTTTACATTCCCACCGGAAGGTTTTGCAGCCGCCGTTCTCACAGACATAAGCCCATCCTGGTTTCCAACCCAAGCAATGAGTAATTACTTCTTGAATAACAAGCAGCCGGCACGCCAACCACCTCTCCTCGCTGTGGGCGGCTGCAGGGCGGGGAGAGGAGAAGGGATGGTGCACGTGACCATCGCTCGGAACAACCATTTCTTCACAAAAATTAGAAGAACCACCCACCCAGGTCTTCCAGTTTTGTGATTCACTCGTTTTCTGCACCCGAGACAGCTCTGCCGCTCCGCTCCCCCCCCGCCTGCGGCACAGCCTGCCCGCTCAGCCAGTCCCAGAGGCTGAGGAACTGGAATATACTGGGAGACAGAAGGCGCGGGTGAAGGAATGCCCAGGAGCTCACCAGTGATTTTGGTAGTCTTCTGAAGAAGGACCGTCCCTCCTGCAAGCTCTGGGGGGTTTCCCCTTCGCTGGCTACCAGACAGGTATTAATTAGTCACTGGTGCCAGTTAAGCGCCACGCTCAGCACTGCGGCCGAGCCGCAGCCCGAGGGAACGCAGAGAGGAACGAGAGCAGCAG